TATCTTAAGGTTGACTACGCCATTGATTCCACTTAAAACTACTTTATTTTTACTTGGCAAATATTGATTTATGTAATTTATTTAGCTTGCTATAAACTTTTTTTTGCCCTGATTATAAATTTGAATGCCAGTTTTTTTGAGCAACAGTCATTTTGATTCAGAGTTGTTTCAATCCACCCATTTACACATTTGATCAATATATATATGCATTCGATCCACACAATATACTTTCAATCCACGTATGTAAATAAAGCAAAAACAAGTCCTATATGCTTCTTATATGCAAAATGTAACAGAGTATTGTTAAAAAAGTTGTCATGAGTACTGACTTAAAGATTATGATCAAAAAAGAAATTGAAACTATGCGTGTTGACTATGAGTTTGCCTGGGCATGATGATTACGATGGTGTCAAAGAAACAAACGCCATCAATTTTTCTTCTTGGCCATCTGCTATAAGTAACTCATGTATAAGAATTGATTGAGACCGAACTAAATTTCTTCTTGTTTCAATTTAGTTACCTGTAGAAAGTCAGTTTATCTCCAAACTTGCTGACAATCTCAATGCTGAAATAGTGTTAGGTTCTGTACAGAATGCTAAAGAGGCAGTGCGCTGGCTTGGTAAGGAGACAATACCTCATCATTATGATATTATTGTTAAAGTATTACTGATAAGTGCAACACAATATTTTGATGAGTAGAAAATATTTCCAAGCAACATTAATCATGATCCATGTACTGTATGAAATAAATCTAATTATTTTTAGTATGTAGTCATTCAAGCACTTTCACGCTAATCATGGACTTTTCTTCACTCACACACACTAGCTACCACGTGACTACATTCAATATTATATGCACACAACGCTCAACTTACTTTTAGATTTGTTTAATGAATCAATTGATACAATTTAGCATAATAGAGATTTTGCACCATCACAAGCTGGCACCCGTAAAACATCTTGGACTGCCTGTGGTTAGATGGCAGAACGATAAAATCCCTTTGCTCTTGGGAATTGAATTCTTTCTCATGTTAGACTGTGAACAGTCCCTCGTTTCCCTCCAGACTCAGTCAAGTGGTTTTTTTCCGGTCTCGGACACGTGGGGAATGGGGGCGACTTTAAAGCAGCACGCTGGGAGAGGAAAAGTAGGGACTATGGACAACACGCAGAGAAATGATTTACAAACCTCTTATTCGCACCTGTCAATAACTCATCACTTTTGGCTTCGGTCAGTCTGGGAAATGTTTACTTTTATATTGACAAAAAATACCTTTTTTGTTGTATTATGAAGTTTGAACTGCTGTAAAATTATTTTCATCCATATGAATTTGTGATATTATAGAAACATCATCTAAATAAACATAAATAATGATTGGAGCCAAACAAGACCAAGACCCAAAGCAATCAAGTATGAATGTGAGAGATTTTGAAAACCACATAAATATCAGTTTAAAAGAACTTATTATATGGCAAGGTAATTTCACACGCTATGATTGGTCAATTTGCGGTCCATAACTTACGGTACAGACCGAAAAATGAAATTGTTCACTGAGTGTACGTACTTATGATATTTTAAAACATTCAAATCTTTATCAAAAAAATATATTTCTGGATGAAAATCGTCGGAAAACCTTCAATAAATAATTAAAAATAACTGAAAGTCACTGGCATTTAATGTAAAACTTATCAAACAAGCAACAACTCTTTCATACAAGCGAAACTCTTTCGATCAAGGCTCTACACGGCACTAGTTGAGCGATTTTGTACGACTAGAAAAAACTAGAAAAACTAACTATGCTAAAGCTAAAACTACGAACTAAAGGGTGGTGAACAGCGGCTAATTCTAAGATAGGTTTACCGTAGAATTAACGTAAATTTGTTATTTCAGTGAGCTAACAACATCCAGTTTGAACTTATCTGAATCGATCGGGTGAAGAAGCCAGTAGTTTCTTTCGTAAACGTTTTAAGCAGTTTTCTAGGCTCATCCGCTCTTGAAGTATGTCCATATTTCAGTAATATTTCACCCCCACTTGAATTTGAATGTATTTTTAGACAGGAGAGTTGGCAGTACCTTTTTTAATTGAGTCGAAAGTGTGCCTTCTTCATGACTTCAGCCATTGTGCATATGGCGGCCTGCTTCAAACAGTCAAAACGTTGAAAATTGACGAAAACTATCCATGTTCAGCTAGCCGTAATTTTTCAAAGCTTCTCATTCATTTCTGGAGACAGTTTTTGAGTTTTTTTCTCAATAAAAGGCAGGAAAACAAGCGGAAGGCTGTAGTATTTTTCATCTTGGTTGTGAATATCTTGAAGTTTGAAGTACGACAGTTTTCTTCTCAATCTCATGCTGAGTTCTTGAGGTCTTCTTTTGATGCCTTTTTTGCTTCGCATTTATATGTTTTGCGAAATAAAGCCTCACTTTTGTTAACTAGTATTTCAGAAAACTTTAAACTTTAGCTAAATTCTTTCAAAGTAAACTAAAACTTCACCTTTTGAGCGACTCAAACACTACATGACTTTTGGCACGTACAGGAAGCCCTTCCAATGCAGTTCTCGTTTGACATGCGCTTTCAACTTTACTTTTTGTTGCTTCGCCTCTTTTTGATCTCAATGCCTTGCCATATAATAAATATCTTATTAACCTCGTTTGCTCGGTCCGTACCGTAAGTTATGGATCCTCGTTTTTTCCACTTTTTTATGGCCCGCGCGTTACTCGCTTGGACCATAAGGCAGTGGAAAAAACTCGGTCCATAACTTACGGTACGGACCTCGCACTCGGTTAATAAGAGCTATATATTCTTCCTCCATTAAATCCATGTCCAGGTGACCAAATTATCTTTTCTGCTTCAAACTCGGGGTATTTTGATTGAGATTTTAATGATGGGAGATTTTGAAAACCATATAAATATCAGTTTAAAAGAACATATTCTTCCTTTATTCTTTCTTTTTTTTTATGTCCAGGTGACCAAAATTATCTTTTCTGCTTCAAACTCAGGGTATTTTGATTGAGATTTAAATGCTTTTTCCTTGAAAATTCCCTGCTTGTCCAAGACCAGAAAATCCCGACTCGACTGAGTCTGGAGGGCAATGATTGTGTTGTTCCTGCCATCTAACATGGCTGCTGTCAAGTGATGGTGCAAAGCCTCTATTGCTTTTGTTTCTTTTTGCCATTATCTACAATTAAAGTAAAAGTTTGGAGTCTATAGAGCAAAGTTGCATGCTTGTACAAGTCCACAGTGTATCCCACAGATTGTAGTTAGGTTTGATTCTGATGTTAAAGTTCTGATGTTAGAGTTCTGATGTTAGAGTTCTGATGTTAGAGTTCTGATGT